CCGAACCGAATTGGCATAGTAATTTCACCAAGGGTTGATGTTATTGTTCCATTAAAACCTTGTACTTGATCCTTACAGGGCTTCAACTCGGCTGGATCAATTCCCATTTGTTCAAATGTACGCAGCATCATAATACTTGAATATGCTCCGGTGTCCACCAACATACGATGTATCGGTATTCCGCAGATGGGCGCCGTAATTATTAAGGGATCAGCATGAGGGTGAGCAAAATAACTAGCATCATCCACATTGAATGTTATTGGGCAATTATTTCGGGCATTAATTTTATCTCGGAGGTCGGTAGTCAGAACAGTTTTGCCCGAGTTAAAAGCTTTTCGAGCATACGCTTTTATTTGCCTCCGTGATTCAGACGTTGCGTTGCTACTGTTATTGACCCGAGGTACATGGTGTGAATTGTCAGGATTATAGTATCCTCCTCGACACATCATTTCAGTCGAATCTCTTTCTCTTTGATTCATCATGTATATTTCTTTCTCACTTGATCTCACCCGTTTTGGATTAATTGGACGTTCTTCATCGTCTTCATCGTCTGGCAAATCAGGCATCCTTCCTTTTCGTTTGTAATCAACGTTCTTGGCAAATCTTTGGACTTGAGGATGTCCAATAAGTCGCAACAAGGCAGAAAGTAAACCGAGGCATTCATCAGTATTATGACCTGCCGACTTATGATATGAACAGTATCTTGTTTTGTCAAGTTTTTCTTCAGGAGTTCTAACAGGCCGTGGGTCAGGAAGGATCCCTTTCCCTTTTAATTCTTCAAATATAGTTGCTGCTCCCGCCGAAAATACTGTTTGGTAGCTAGATTTGACTTCATTAAGGTATTTAGTTCTGGCTTCTTGCACTTCAGGGATCTTTGGATTTCCAAATCGAGACTTATTTGGTTTAAAGAATTTGCTTTTCTTCTTTTTCGACTCTTGCCCGGCTTCCGACTTTAACGAGGAAAAGTCGATATTAGGAACCGACATTGATTCTTCAGCTAAAATATGCTGTTGAGCTCGAGCTAGAAAATCTTGAAATGAAGTCGGTTTATTTTGACATATACTCCATCGGAACAACGAGTTTGGCTTCAATCCGGCTATGGCTGTGACCAATAGCGTTTCAGGATGACATTGCTCCATATTTTGTATGCGTTCGTTGAACCGAGTAATATAATCTTTCACACTTTCATCATCTTTTTGTACGATATTCGCGATCGATTCTTTGGGAATTAAGGAAACTCGGGCCCCAATAAAATGAGAGCGAAAAGCCGTTCTCAATTGCTGCCACGTAGAAATTGAGTACCGAGATAGAGAATGATACCATTTTTGAGCTCGAGGTCCCAAAGTTAAGGAAAACATCCGACATCTGAGTGCTTCATTTGCTCCATGAAGGTCCATCCAAGATGTGTACTGACCAAGATGAGCATCAGGATCGGAAGTTCCATCATACAAACCAATTTGTGGAACTTTTACTTTAATTGGAATAGGCTCTCTAGTCAAATGAGGGGCTAAAGGAGTTCCAACTTCTTGATACATTTCTTCTGTCATTGGAATTCGTCGTGGTGGTTCTCCGTGTTCGTCTTGGCAAGTCTCTAGCTCAGCAATTCTTTTTCTCAGCATTTCTATCTCTTCTGATTCGCGTCTTTGGCGATTTCTTTCAATTAAACGGCGTAACTCATTCTGCTCACGACGAGCATGATTTTGTTCAAGAGTATGTCGTAAATCAGAAGGTTGATCATGTCGTGATATTTCTGGTAACGACGGAGTAGGCTGTCGTGGTCGATGTCCAGAATGGCTTTCTGCAGTTGCTTCTGATCGCACTGGTTCTGGAACTCGAGTTTGTACCGGAACTACGCCACGATTGTGAGTTGTAGCATCATGTTGTGATTCATGTGTTCGTGGATGGGAAGTTACATGTGATGTTGCAGGGATATTATTTCTTCGTGGAACTGGGGTTGAGTGAGTTTGAGGATTAGCCGCCGTGGTTGATTCTATTCTTGTTCGTGCCATAAAATCAGTTAAATTTTTCAAGAACTCTGGATCTTGAAATAAAGCTGAATAATCAATTGACGTAGATGGCACGGCAGAAGTTCCAGTTGTATGAGTTGGATGACGATTGATCCCAGCATCTGGATTACGTTCATTTCGTCCAGAATTCGACATCCTTTGCGTGTGTTATTACAAGACGAACAATCAAGACGGAGGTTCAAGCCGCCCTCCTTCTAGCGCCAAACTGTTGCCTTCTTGAATTAACAACTTAAAATTAAACACAGTTGATGTCAAGAAAATGAGGATAAAAGTTTAATTGGATTTTATTGATTATGTTCACAAGAGTACAGAAGTCGGTTTTAGGTTGAAAACCGAGATCATCTTATGTTCGTGTACCATGTGTTTTTAAAAGATCCCCGTACTATCATAAATTCTGCTATTTATAGTACAGTGGCTTTTGTCTTCTTGCTCGAAATGGATAAAGATGCATTTAATGTTGAGCTGCTTCGCTTGAGGCGGCGGGAAACATCAATGATTGCCTTTTCGTTTTGTTGGTCCAATCAGATGCTTCTAATGATTACTTTCTGTTAGAATGCTCAAACTTTGCGGTAGTCGGTTGACATGAAGTCGGTTTCGATCCTTTTGAAGGTCTTTCAGAAGTTGGATGTTCGGTAATCGGTAATTCTTCTGAAGTCGGTAATTTGTTCTAATATATATACCGACTTGTAGTACTTCAATTAATTTCTATTTTCAATCTCTGTTACTGGATTCGATATCAACAATATTCATAGAATCAATTATAAACTTAACTTCTATATCATGATATATATACTTATAAACATGTAAACTTATTATCAAAACATGAACTTAAGAATGTAACTTTAAGATAAGTAAATTACCTCCTTCTTGCTAGAATAAAAACTTGATTCTTTACTTCAAATTCTTCACTTCTCCAAAGTTTCTACTACTTATCTCTCTTACACTCTTATATAACTTTTGGTACTTAACTTTGGTGCATAAACTCTGATTTTTAGGCCTCTATTTATAGGCACAATTTGCAAGACATCATAATTGAGTGAAGAAATTAACAAAATAAACAATACAAACTTGTAAAAATAAATATAGATAATAAATAGTATTCTTAACTTGTAAACTTCTCCAACCCATAGTCAATGCTTAGAAAGGCCCCTCTTCTGATCCTAATCTGATCTTAATGATTAAATTCGAGATTTAGTGAAAATTCTCCAATTTACGGAACCAAATTCTGACTTAAAACGAACAGTTACCGTAAAATCGAAAATTCTTACAATTTTCGAATTTCCTTCTTTTCTTTTGGCATTTTTCCTTTTTATGCTGAAAAATTTTTCCTATCTTGTAGTCTACTAAAAATATAGAGAGAAAATAATTTAATTTATTTCTCGGAACTGAAATCAGACATATATTCCGACTACAATCCAAAACCGAAAAAAACGAAAATTCTAAAAATTTCATATTTCTCTCTAATAGTTTAAATAGACTAAAATGTCTAAATAAATTTTCTCACTTCTTTGAACATTTATAACTTAAATGTTCATGGATACTTAACCGAACTCGAGACCTAACTTGTCTCGACTCATTATTCTTTTTCTTTCTCATTCAAACTAGAAATGGCCAAATTTACATCCATTTAGCTAAATAAAATGGAATGTTACTTGAACTTGAACTTCATCTTAAATAACTTATTTCAATTCAATAAACATTAATGTCTAATTAATCCTTATAACTTGATCAATACTCAAAACTAAGCTAGGCTCGAGAATCATTTGCTCGGTAATAATCTTAACTCGTAACCGGACATGCTTGGTTCGGTTCACTACTTATCTTGAACGAGTAATCAAAATATACTCGATTTTTATTATTCGTCATCTTATAATAATTAATCTCATCTTATAAATCCATTTATAAAAATAAACAGACCGAAATTAATTAATTACTGAACTGGCTCGATTACTAAATAAAATTTAATCGAGAATACTTTCAACTTAAAGTCGAACTTTTAACTGAATAACTTAATAACTGGGCTCGAAACTAAGAACGAGCATTACTAATAAAAGTAATTAGTTTAAACTTAGAACTAAAATAATTACTTTTATTAATTACTGAATGGAATATTACAAAATATCTATGGTTCATAATTTTCCTGTCTTGTAATTATTCACAAGATGCAACTATTTTTTATTGGTTTCAAATCAATTTAAAAAGATGAAAGTTCGGGGATGAATTATAATTTTTTCATATTGTGACAGAGAATACATAGTTTCGAACTAATTTCGATAATTGAACTTCACATAAACCCCAACAGAAAATGGTCCATGCAAGATATACAACTAATTGAGTCGAACTAATAAATTTAACACATTAGACTGACTTATAGCAATTGTTCAAAATACAACCTTCCTATAAATATGTAATGCACAAACCTATACACATATAAAGAACCTTCTCTTGCTCTTGCTCAGTCAGAAAAGGACACACCATTCGAGCTTTCTCAACAAAAATCTCTAATTTGGGCATATATATATACCACAAGGTTAGGAATGTTAAACACACACACACACACAAATAAATAAATAAAACCATGTTTTGCGGGCAAAACATGATTTATAACATGCATGAGTTATCTATGGACTATGATTATATATTCTTAACTCTTAAGCATTACCTCATTACTAATCCGGAATAAAAAAAAAATCAGCATGCAAAACCATGCAATATCAAAGCACTACAAGTCTAGAATTTCAATATTATGTTTAATCCAACAAAGGGTTCTGATTTAGATCAACAGAAAATAGTTCGGCAATTATCACAACAACAAGAAAAAAAAAAGAGAAAAAAGAAAAAGAAAACCATTGAACTGTTTTCCAATCGTTATGAGCTCTCCAGAATGAGGAATTGCTGAACGTATAAGCTACGGGCGGGCGCACAATACTTTAAATGTACCTCTCAATCTTAGCCAATAACATCCCTCCACGTCTACATCTGAATCCACCGTGCTAATTGTGTGGGGTTGACTATTCCAGGTATGTGTGCACCGTCACTCTTCAGTAAGTTTGCCACCTCACCATAGCTCTGCGGCTTCGGCTTCCCACCCGGCTCGGCTCCAACGCTCGGCTGCGCCTGGCTCTGCCTATTGTTTCTCCTATGCTCCGCAGCAGGGCCCACTGGCGCGGCTTCGGCTCGTGCGGGATCGAACTTGTGCCCAAACAGCGTGCCCCTGGTCAGGAACTCGTGAGCCATATAGCCGGCTACGAGCCGATTGGAAGAGAGGGGCTGATAATCCGGCTCGGGACATTTGGACGACGTCGTTGCGGGGATCTCAAAACTAACGGCGCGACTGACGGCCGTTGGTGGAACTAACGGTTTAATTGACGACGAAGGAAATAGCGCCTCCCTCTCTTTCCGCTTCCGTGATGCCCCTGGCGTCAATATTCTTCGCGAGTGATAACTCATCCTGACCGTCTGTTTTGTTATTCGGCGATAATTACGATGGGAAGTTTACGAGATCACGCCACGACAGCGATACTCTTTTTAGCGACAGATTGTGAAAAATAAATAGAGAATAAGGAAAAAAAGAAAAGAAAAAGAGGAAAGTAGGACAACGTCAAATTTTAAATTATTAAAAATACCTAAAACATCCAAAAGAAAAATTAGGGAGAGAAAAATACAAGGGAGGAAAGGACAACTGTAGCACGGGCCAAAAGCGCATTTTACTCGACTAAAAAAAAATATTGGAGTTGGGATATATTGAAATACGAAAAATCAGAGAATTTAATTACAATTGCTGATGATATTAAATATATCCAGAAACACAGATTATAATTAAAAAGGCAAGATTAAATGGAGAATAGAGAATTGGGCGGATCTGGGTTGGAGACGCGGCAGAGGGAGTAGTGGATCCGCCGTATGAAGCGCGGCGAGGAGAGAGAGAAAGGGGGGACGGAGAGGAGATTTAATAGAAAGGGGAGAAGAGGGTAAGAATTAGGATTGGGCGCAGGGTTGCTGAAATATATAGCAAGGCGAAGCTTATTTATCCCCTTGTGTTTGTGTAATATTTACTATAGTGCCATTTGGTAATGTTGTTTTGTTCATCTTTATCAATAAACTAAATTCACGTTTAATTATATTCAAAATATAACTTAACTTTAATTCAACTTTACTATTTCTAATATTATGGATATAATTAAATAATATCAATTAATCATTTTTATATATTACATCAAATTTAATTCACTATTCATTTACTTACATAATTTTAACTAACAATCACTTCATATCATTTCTCTCATACTTTTATATCAAATCAACTTTAATTATTATTTTAATATAAAATATGAAGTTGTGGGAGAATACACACTAATATATTAGAATTGCGCAAAGTTAATATGTAGCGCCCCGTTTGTTTATGGAATATTTGGGATTTTTAATTAAAATTATTATTATTATTATTTTATTATTGTCATTATTATTATTATTATTTTATTATTATTAATACTATTTTATTTAAATGCCTAATTGTCAATTAAATGCTTAATTGTGTATTATTATTATTATTCATAATGTGTGAAATATATATAGTAAATAATAGCCGAATTTTATTTTATTTTATCGAGCGAACCGAGCCATTCTATATTGGCTAAATCAACTGAGCAATCGAGCCCGAGAGAACCATATTAATTGAACCGGCGCCCCGGCCCATTTTAAACCCGCGACCCGAGCCTGGCCCGGCCCGGCAGACCCTTTTCTCTCTTTGTATTCTCGCGCATGAGGTGAGATTATTAGCTTGGGCATCTAGATTTAGTCTTTTAACCTAAGTATGTGATATATATTTTTTCCCTCATCTCGCTCGGTATAGCAGACCGACCGCAGCTTTTCAAATCTCATCTCCCTCAGTTCCAAATCGCGTTCCCTCTCCCTCACCGATCTCTTCCCGTCGTCCTCTCTCTTTCGTCAGACAAGCCGTCATCTTCCTCCTTTCCCTCTCTTCCCGTCGCGATCATCATCCTGACCCTATCTCGCGGACAGAAAACCAGAACCGCCGCTCTCCTCCTGTCGCGAGCCCTTTCCGGCGAACCTCCATAGCCGCTGCAACCCCGACGACGAAAGCTCTCCAGCAGGTCCCCAACCCTCGATCGTCGTCACCGCTCCCGAGACCCGGCGGATCTGCAACTTCGACGGCCTTTCCTGTCCGCGCGCCGCCGCGAACCAACAGCGCCTCCCACCGGCGAGCAGAGCCATCCCCGGCCACGACCCACCTCTGTGAGCAGGCTCGAGTTCCGGCGACTCTCCACCGCGAGCCACCACCGTGAGCCGCCACAGCCCTCCACCGAAGCTGGCCACCGCTGCTCCTCCGCGAGCCCCGCTCAGTCCGCGGCCGCCGTTGCTCCTCCTCGCCGTGAGAAGCCGTCCTCAGCCGCGACTCGCCGTGAGCCAACAACAACTTCGCAGCGACCCCAGACACGCCGCTGCAGCCCCTCTCGCAAGTCGAGCGTACCCGTCGAACGCCGCCGCTTGCCGCCGCGTAATTGCCGTTTGTTTTTTCTTCGTCCCATTTTCGAGCGGTTCCCGAGAACGGTATCTAGTCGAACCCCATCTCGTTTAAATCATATTCATGTTGTCTTCGTTATGTTGAATGCGAGATGTGATTATTTATGTGATAATGTGTTCGATATGAGCTATGTGATAATTATGATTTTATGTGTGTCGTTTAAGTGTTCGAGGATCTCTTTAATTATGAGAAATTGAACGAGACCTCGAAAGTCGTGTAAGTCAGTGGATATTGGAACAAAGTCGAGTCCTTGGTCTTACGAGAAGGCCTCGGACGAGAAATTTCATGTTATGAATTAATTGCTAAGTTGTCGAGCATATATATCGCTGTTTTGGTGTTTGAATTTTTAAAAATATCACGCTGCTCGGAATGACTTGAAATTTTGAGGAGTATGCTTCCGTTTCATTGGCAGTCTCATGTAAAATTTCATAATTTTTAGAGGCCTGTAGCTATTTTTGATAAATAGAGTGAATTCTTATCAGAATATTGTTTAATGCTTAATAAATTGGTTTGTGATTCAAATGAGCTGAAATTTTAGTATGTTATGCCACTGATGTGTTTATGTGCTGTGTTAAACTTTTTGAATTTTTGAACTAAATTTGATATGGCTAATAGTTTAATTGTTGTTCCTTCTGAAAACGGTATGAATTACTATAAATCGATTTGTACCTGAAAAATTCTGAAACTTGGCTGAGATGCTTATTTTATGTGTATATTCGTGCTGCCTAAAGATGAAAAGTTTTGGAGTTCATTTTAGTGCTGTTTTTATTTAAATTCGATAATTGCTGAATCTTGTGTGAATTTTTAAAAATAGCACAGTTAATGTCCAGGGCTGAGATTTTTACATGTTGTCTATACCATGCTGTAGGTTGTGAGATTAAATTTTCATGTCCTGATTCATTTATTAGATTCAGATATAAATTCATGTGCATTTTTGCTGATTTCTTGTAGGAATTTCATAAATTAATGTGCTTTGAGTTTAAAGCTGAAAATTTATGGTTTTACTTATTACTGGGAGATGTAATTTTTTGTAAAATTTCAGAGTCTAAGTCGTAGGGTAGCCTGACCATCTATTTTCATGTGATTAATGTTTACTATTTTCGAAACGTGATTTTGAAATAAAAGTTGGGAATCGACTTGCTTTTCGTTTTGATGTGAGTTTGACTTGGTCAATCTTTAGATGGATTTTTGTGAACTCCCATATGTGGTTTGGTCGAGTTTAGTGTCGAGTCTTAGTGTTCCAACGTCCACAGGACTTCACGAACTACTTAGTCGAAACAAGTTCGACTAGGTCTGTTTTGTGTTTTCCGTTTAAAGTCAAGATAGATGTTGATTGTAGCATCTTGACTCAATGTAGGTAATTGAGGAGTCCAGCCTCGACCTACTCCCATTGCTTTGAGTTATTATCAATCCGGAATCCAGGTGGGTTATTCTAAAAATTATCTATGCATATGTGTGATTTTAAATTGTGATGAAAGTTTGGTGTGATCTATGTATGAAAATGAACATGTAGCCTATCGATGTGAGCTTGATGGCCGTCGATACGGTTTTCCCCGTATGATAAGATACGGTTACCCTCTGAGGTAAATCTCATAAGACCTATGAGAAGGCCGTGTCATTGATGTGGCACGCACTCCCATGTTTCACTGATATGGCATGGCTTAGCTTTGATGAGCATAGAAGTACATGAGTGAGTCTTTGATGAGACTATAGTCATTGATGTGGCTAGAGATGTGACATGATTTTATTGTTTATGTTCATGCTGTGACCATACCATTATTATGTTATTCATATGCATAGCGTGAGTACGATAGTTAACTGTACTCACTCCCACCTGCTCGTAACTGATGCAGGTTAAGCAGTCGGCGGGTGACGAGACAAGACGGGTGGTGGTCATACTTTTATTTATTGCTTATTTATTTGCTTCCGCTCATTTAAGGAACTCATGTTGAGATATTTTGATTATGTCGTTTTGAACTTGGAGTTATGAATTATCTTTATGATTTGGAACTTAATGAATGTTAGTTTGGTTATGACTTATTATTCGTGCATGCTGTCTGTATCTGATATTTTGGCATTTTCGGATAAAAGTTTTTGGTTAAATAAGTAGCGCCCACTAAGTTTTTAATTAAATTGAGATTTGCGAAAAATTTATTGTGATTTTTATTAAATAAAAACGGTAAACCTTTTAAAATAAAGTGGGGCGTTACAGTTTGGTATCAGAGCCGGTCTGCGTTTCTGTAGACTGGTTTATACGTGAATATGTGATTAGACCTTGTGTTATGACCACTCGTCTTCGTCACGCCGCGCTGCTTAAGGTATGTGTTTAAATAAGTATCGTGGAAATACTTAATATGAAATGTGAAGTTTAAATTTTTGCATAAGTAGAAATGAAACTGCTTATGATATGAATTGTTGATATTTGGGGCTTAGGAAATCTATCCACCTTCGTTTAATGTGAATTCTAGTGTTTGATGTTGAACTCTAGTGATATAGAGTTAAGTTCGGACTCTAGAAGTTCCTCGCTATGAGGTTCAGTATGTTGTTATCGAGATGAGTTATGCCCATAGCAGTTTCCTTTGCTATATAATTATATTCAATGTCTTCAAGTGAGGACCCGGTCAATGAGAACCGAGAATGTATTCTCCCTCTTCGGACCTTTGCCAGGTTTCGTAAATTATGAGATGAGTCAATATCTTGTAAGCTGCCATTTTTTTGGATGTTCATGACCTCTGTTCAACCTCTGGTATGTTATGTGTTTAATGTCTCTTATGCCTTAGTAAGGGTGAGTTCGTGCTAGCTCGAAGAATGGTTAGTTGGGTAAGAGATAAGGATTATGTGATTTATTGATTTCCCTTTATGTGATATGATGAGATAAGTGTATTAGGTTGATAGTCTCGGTTAT